TATATATATATATATATATATATATATATATATATATATATATATATATATATATATATATATATATATATATATATATATATATATATATATATATATATATATATATATATATATATATATATATATATATATATATATATATATATATATATATATATATATATATATATATATATATATATATATATATATATATTATATTATATATATAATATTATACACAATTATACGATTTTATTATTTTATTGTTATGTTTTACGGCACACGCATAAACACACTTTATTTTATTTTGTTTTATCTTAATTTAGATTTGATTATGTTAGCAGATAGCAATTTCTAACTGCGGTTATTGTTTTAACAAGAAGCATCACGCGCTCTCAGCATCTTAGTGCAATCTCTCGAAGAAAAAGAAAACAACGGCTGATAGTTCGGAATCCCAAAGTTGTTAGAGAGCAAAGTTTCCGCTCGCTGGTAGTGGATCGATTGTGTGCGTGAAAGATATCTCAGTAGGATATAAAACGGAAATACACTCGCGCGTGGGAGTCCGCGTGCGCGAGCAAGGGATCTGTTTGCCTGAATTTCGAGCGTTGCTCATCAACGGGAAAACAGGGGAAACAACGGAAACGGACGAAGAAGGCGAGGAAACGCGGTGATACGCGACGGGTATATTGTCGTCATCGGTTAAGAAATGCGAGCGTCAGTTCATCATTTATTGTGAATAGCGCGAGTTCCAGCCGCGAGTGAATGCGAGCGCGCGTGAAGTCATCAATGAAGATGGCTATAACTCAATGACGCTCAAACATCTATTTCCACTCTCTGGCACCCACCGTTCTGAAAATAGTGCCGCGCAAAATAACATGGAACTTACGTGCACCTTTGTACCCGTGCTCCTGTCGATGCACCCAAAATAGTTCCCGTTTAAAAAATTTCTCTCTCTCTTTCTCTCTCTCTCTTTCTCTCTCTCTGATTCTCCTCGACCCTCGCTTCGCTCTTCGTTTTATATCGTTATCCCTCGACATCGCGAAATACATGGCCGCCTATTCGATTCGGCGACCACGAAATGAGCTCGATTTCGAGCTCGATTTCGAGCTCGATCGGATCCGCATCGATCAATTCTCGCGCGAATCAATCTGTTTAGACTGATATAAATCGACAAGATGTTGAAACGATTCTACATTATTGTCAAATATGTCAACTCAAAGAGAGTACAATGTAAAATGACAAAATATTCAATTAACTTGAAATAGTAAAATACTTTTTTTTTATTAATTTTTGCGTATAAATTAAATTCAAACTTTACAAATTAAATAAAAGTTTATTAATTTACATATAGTATTAGAAAGAGATATAAGAATTTTTCTAGATCTAAAACTAATAATTTTTTAAGCTTCTAGCAGAGCGCGTGTATGTGTGTGCTTCTCTATTCTTATGTTCTAGTCTTAAAATATATATCTGAAAATATAGTTTCAAAATAAACAAATGTTTCGGAACAATCTCACTTTACGACTCTGCACAAAATATATTTGGCTCATTGAAAGTTTGGAGTTTGAAGATCAAGCTTCTTCAGTTTCAATACAAATCCCTCTTTGATCGTGTTTTATCGAATATCGATCAGAATTTTTTATCCATCTTAGACAAATGATAGACGGATAAGAATGATAAAGACACGACGATGGTTTTTAGAGACCAGAATAGAGCCGCACGAGGTGATCATCACACCACCCCCGGAGGAGCCGCGTCTGAGTCAAGCGAGCGAAGGCAGCGAGGCGCCGAGCGAGACGCCCTCGGAGACGTCCTCGCCGTCCGGCAAGACGAGACGATATCGTGGCGACACTAGCAAGAGGAGAAAGGGCGTGTACATAACTCAATGGCCAGAGCCCTTGGACGCGGACAGGAACAAGCTGTCGGCTCAGAGCAGCGAGGAGAGAGACGAGCCACCTGCGACGCCCAGCGATCTGTCCGACTGCGAGGGCCACACGCCTCGAAGGTAACCGGAGAACCTATGCTTGGATCCATCGAAATAGAACGGAAGTGCGCCTGATACGCAGACGCGCAGATCTAACGTGCTCACAAACTCGCGTTAATAATAGCCTTAACGAAATAATTACGGTTTCACGTAATCGGTGTGAAGGAAGAGTAAAGTTGCGTTTCGATCTTTGGTTTGCCATCTCTTTTCGCGCACGAAATTTTATACATCAGCAAATTTAGAAACGTTAATATTATTAAATTTTAAGAAGCAAATGTGCGCACAGCATTCGAAAATTTTTCTCCTACTTTTGGGAGAAGAGGCGTAAAATATTTTTTCCTATCTACCCAAAATTTTAATTTTATTCTCAAAATTATATCTGGTTCGATTCCTCTGATTTATATACATATATATCAATCTGTAAATATTTATGGAAAAATGATAACGTTCTCTTTTTTATTTCCAATCAAGGTATAGCAAGAGACCCCTTCGCGGACCCTACGGGCAGATGCTGGAGGCCGAGATGGCGAAGCCGCGTACCGCCGACATCGCGCTCGACGAGGGTCTTCGTCCTCGCAGAAAGATCTCGGCGAATCTCTCATACAACGCGAGCGGTAACAACAACAGCGGCTCCGAGCCGCCCACGCCCTGCCATCACCGGACGACCTCCAGCCCGACTAAACTCGAGGGACTTCCGGGGCCGAGTCCCGAGCTGCTCGCGGAGCTGCTGAGAGGGTCCTCGGAGAGGGTGGCTCGCGCACCGGCGCATCGAAACGTGAGTCAGATTATCTCGCTTCGATATAAATTGCCGGTTACAATGCCCCGGCTACATTTCGCCCATTTTTCGCGATACGACGGGGATAAGCGCGAGGGAGGGCCGTAAAGTATCCGCACGGTTCGTGCCGCGCATTTGTTATCGAGACATTTGATGCATGCACAATGTGCGCGTTTCCCTTGATTAATGAACGAGCAATTTCTTTGGAAAATTGCATTTTTTTTCGTCTGCGCTGAAAATACAATGTCGTCGTATATCTTGTATGATATGTAACACTTTTAATTGAGCGCGCCAAAAAAAGCGCGACAAAAAAAAACAGAGAGAAAGAAATTGATATTAGCTTTGTAAATCTTCACTATGGTTCATATAAAGTAATACGTGATCTCTTAATCTAATTCACTAGGTAAAATTTGCTAAGACAAAATATTTTTTATAAATAATTTTATAATATTGCTAATAAAATATTATAACATTTGCCGAATCATAAAAACGTGTATCTTTAAAAGATAGCTGTTTTAATAACAGCTAAAAAAACCGAGTATAGCATTACTCATTTATTTAATATTTTTATATCTCTCCTTTGAGAAAAGTAAATTATTTATACTCTATATGTACAATTTAGCTATAACTGATTCTCAGCATATGACAAGCTCTTTTCATGTTAAACGAATGAATCTTTGGATGAGGCACACATTTTCCTCTAAATACGAGGCATGAATACGAGCCAAAGAATTTTGATTCTGTTCCTTCCTCGAATTTTGCTCGTCTTCTAAATACAAAAATGCCTGTGATCGGGGTTATCTCGTCGTATCTCTCTGGCTCGTGCATCGGCGTTGTAACATCTGGTCGAGAGGCCACACGAGGGAAGCGCCGGTCGAAACTGATGTGAGAGATCCCCGATGTTCGGGCGAAATGGATGGCCGCGTTCGTGTTCGCGTGCTTGTTCGACTCCAGCGCCGAAAACATAATCTAATAATAATGTACGGTCATATTTCTCGGATGAGTCTGTGCCTTGGCCAGTGCACTCGAGGTTGGTGTAGCGTCCCTACGCGATTCTGGCACGGCGGGGGCGTACATGCGGATATTCCTGGTGGGTTAGGTGTATCTGGGGACCGACACGATAATTCGCTTGCCGCGATCATTTCGGTACAACTTTCGCGACCTTGTGCGATACATGTGCTTATCATTTTGAATCTGGTGTGATTCTTGTGGAGTTTTCCCGGGAAATTCCTATAACAACTGTTTTTATTAATCAAAAAACTGTGAAAATTGAAAATCTTGTAACTCTTTCTTTTACATTCTTGCAAAAGATTTTTGAAGAAAATTTTATTTCTCACATATTTTAATATTGAGTCACTCTTATAGTAGTAACAATACTAACAATAAATAGGGAAACTGGCAAATATCTTATAGTAATTTTTATTTACTACTTTATTCTTAATCTGATGATATATTAAGTTTGTGTAATTTTTTGAAGAATTAAAATTAAATCTATTATAAAACATGAAGATTATAAGTATATGGCTTTATATTAATTGTTATAGTAATAATTATCATGTTTTTTCTATTTAAGTTAATATACACACGTCTTTTTTAAATATGCTCAAAGTACTTGGCGACTCGAAAGTTAAAGAAACTCTCTTTGGAATTTAAACTGAAAATATCGTAGCAATAACACTGCGAAAAACAAGAGAAATGTTAGAATATTTATCGATTTGCTACTACATTTTAATTTACGAGCAGATATTATATGAAACTGAACTAATTTGAATCTTTAGATTATATTTTTTCCACAAAAAAGAAGAACTTAAAAAAGAGTTCAAATTTTGGCAATATTGAGAGATAACTTTTTTTTCAAAACTGTGTTTAACATTTTCGACAGCTCAATTATGTTTGCACCAATTCTGATGTATATTTCGCGGTAAAATTTTACGCAATTTTGATGAGCTTTTGCAATGTATAAGTCTTCCACCGTTATTTATCGTCTAAAAAAAAAAAAATAATAAAGAACTACGACAGCGATGGACTCAAATATATCGCTTAAAGATCTCGTCATAACGTAGTCATGTTCCCCGCTCACGTCGATTACTTAGAAGCCAAATGGATCTTTACGCCGAAATTAAAAGATTCATTCATGATAATCACAAAATATTGCCGAAGAGAATTTGTTGAAGAATTTCTTTTTACGTGATTATGCAAGATATTACAAATAAATTTGCAAATATGCAAATATCGATCCAATAAACGAGGATGCATCTCTCCTTATCGGAGAAGATATTTTATTTCGCGAATGTTTTCATTGGGATTTAAAGGGCGAATGAATCTTGATGCGCATAGTCGGCGAAATGAACGAGGCTGTTCATAGAATTTCTATCGTATTGTAACGATGCACACACGGCGGAAATTAGTCATGTAAAAAAAAAGCAAAGTTGTGTCGTTGAGAGAAAGCAGCATTGTTTATGCGACGCGAGGTCAAATGCATTAACGATTATATATCTTGGCGTGCGGCTTGGCATCCAGTTATAGTCATCGCAAGCTAAATTCTGCATTTGGCCAGAGAGCTAATATTTTTTCTTCTGTTTTTTTATTTTTTTTGCATACATAGTGGGACAAAAGTGCGGATGAATTCGTGATGCGGTAGATACGCGGCATTTGTACGCAGTCGCGTTCCCATCGGAGAGAGCAGCGACCTATTTCTTCCGCGGATACGGGAGACCCTCAGTCGACGTCATGTTTACCGCTGACGTCATTACGCCCAGGCACATCGTGAATTTGCGTTCCATTCATGAAATTCCCGTCGGACGTGGGAAATGACGTAATACTAAACACCTATCATCATCGTGTAAAGCTTACAAAAGCACGCTTGAGTACTTCGTAAGATTCTTTTTAATTTTTCGCGACATGGTTTTACTTTTTATGCACACAGTTATACATAGTTATACATTTTCGTATTCTCATCTTCTCAGAGATGAATGATTATTACAATATAAAGATATACATCGAGATTTTCAAGATAAAATATTCATTATCTTATATTGCGGCAAGGAACATAATTCTTAAATAATTTTATATTAAACACATAATTTTACTCTTTCTAATTATAATGTATTATTAATAAGGAGATTATATTTTCTGATCGTGCAATGTAAATAATTTCGAATCTAAAATTAACATAAGTTTTATGCAAATCCTCTTTTTATATTTTATATTTGTTTAAATTCTTGCCGACATAAACAGAGATGAATATTCCAGCTATATGAGATATGATTCATATTTCAATATTCATATCATTTGATCAATCGTTCATTAATTAATATCGAAACCACAAATGCGGCAACTATAATGCACGTCTAATAAGTACTTCGGTGGCTCTATTCTTGAAGTAGCAAATTTTCCTCTAAACGTGACGAAAGTAACACATGCGCGTGCGATGTATCGGGAATACAAATTCTCTACTTTATCGATAGCATTATCGGTGGAAGTTCAGAGAAACTGCGGTCCAAGCGAGACGGCGGAATTTCGACGCGTGCGAGAAAGCGTGTCGGCGCGAGAGATACACACCGTGGAATAATGAAAGGCCTCTCGGCCGGCCGTAAACTTTCGAACAATAGCGTAATCGTGGTTCCATTGACTGTTAAAAGGTGTGGACGCGGCTAGGCATGTGGGTGGTATCGGTAGATACGGGCGACTTTTATTGCCCGCCGCGCTTGTGTATCAGTCTCTCTCGGTAGACCGTAAAGGAATCTCGTGCACGCGCGATATTAAACGCAGTTACGTCTGATACAACAGCATGCAGCAAGGGTCTCTTAAGCAAGCTCCTCGACAAGAGCTATTTTAATATCAAAATGACATAAAAATGTTACAGACTCTATTTGGTATTCTTGTACTCTTTTAACATACACAGGGCTCGGCGGTTATTTTAACTTGCGACTTTCGTTAATAATATTAAAATAGGAGTGTGCGTATAAGCCGCGTTTATATTTTTAGACAATGTTATGTTTTTATTTGTAGTAGATTATTAAACATTTTAACGCATCTGTAATAAATTTGCTTAAATCAAGACTGAGAAGAGAACTGTCAATTTAAAGCCAGATGTTACAGAATCTGACTTTGGTTGACTTTTCGAAGCGCCCAAACGGGAATAGAAATCATAAATCAGCAACGCGATGCTTTCGCAATATCTCGCGACATTTCGATCGGATCGAAGAATGATGGTGAAACGGCGGCGTGATGCGAAAATCTATATGCGCGATCGCGTGGTGGACCAGGATGTTACTCTTTTAACATACACAGGGCTCGGCGGTTATTTTAACTTGCGACTTTCGTTAATAATATTAAAATAGGAGTGTGCGTATAAGCCGCGTTTATATTTTTAGACAATGTTATGTTTTTATTTGTAGTAGATTATTAAACATTTTAACGCATCTGTAATAAATTTGCTTAAATCAAGACTGAGAAGAGAACTGTCAATTTAAAGCCAGATGTTACAGAATCTGACTTTGGTTGACTTTTCGAAGCGCCCAAACGGGAATAGAAATCATAAATCAGCAACGCGATGCTTTCGCAATATCTCGCGACATTTCGATCGGATCGAAGAATGATGGTGAAACGGCGGCGCGATCGCGTGGTGGACCAGGATGTTGGACCGGATAATCTATGAATAAACCGATGAGTGCAGGGCGCGCGGGTGCATGCAAAGTAGTAGTTGCACCATATTCGCCCGCGTGGCACGTTACCGGGAAATATTTAAATATTTAACTTACACGGGATGCGTATATATAAACCACTTGGCCGCGACTGATGCCTACGGTTTCGCAAGCACGACCACTCCCCGTTTGCGCGATATTTAATTCGATCGGATCGACCTTAAGATCGCGCGCGAGGCGATCTTCTGCTCGTTGTGAGTAAACAGAATTGCATTTCCGAGTCGTTCGGACCATTGCCCGTTCCGTAAATGTATGCACGTAACTTTATTATCGTACTACGAGCAAGCTATTTGT